TTCAAAACCCAACTCTTATGCCATTAGAAAGAGGATCATGAAAAACCTATAAAAAAATGGTTCAAGAAATTTTAGTTCGCTCATAAAGCTAAAGTCCGCTTGCTCTAGCAAAAAATGCCCACTGTGCGTACTGCTCAAAAATCTTAAAAACATGACGATGATTTTCGGAGTTTCTCAAGATTCGGTTGCTGGAAAAAAAATCTCTGATTGAAAGTGTTTTTGAAATTTGTGAACCACTCCATTGGAAAGAGTACATACGAAAACCTATAAGAATAGTATTAAAAGGCTTTCGTATCACTTTTACGGCACATGTCCACGTGCGTAGTCAAAATTGCCCACTGTGTCTCTCGCTTCATGTCAACTTCTCGGGTGTTTTATTTGTCTGGTATGGTAGCATAAAAGTTTTCAAAAATGTACCACCTCATTCTAGTATGTGATGTTTGCTTATATATGCTTATTTGAGGCGTCATACCTCAAAGGTACTATAGCGTAGACGCCCTGCACACTGCTGGTGAGATTCTCAATTGATTTTTGCACCATGCGGTGCAAAAATCAATCCCTAGCCTACAGCTTCTGCATTGAAAGTTTTGTGAAAACTTCTAAGATTTTTCAAAGTTACGAGAAAAACACTGAAAAACTTTTTGATCGTATTCTAATTGTCCCACGTGCCTCTATCTAACTGAGCTGTTTGAATCTGGCGTTGATAATAATTTAGCTAATTATCGACCTATTATCCTACATTTTTTTCTGAAATTTTTGAACTAATAACACATAAAAGAATCGTACGGATCTTCTGTCGGTGATAAGCTTATTGGTAAACATCAGTCTGGTTTCAAACATAAAGATTCATGTGTAAATCAACGCATAGGTTACAGAGTTTATTTGTGCGGATATACTGAAAGTATGTATTTTTCTTGTTCTTTTTACATTTTATTTCGAAAAGGATTACACATTTAATGGCTGAATAATAAAAAATGATCTTACCTCGATTATGATTGAAACGTATGTTTTTTAAGTAAAACTCGAGAAACATGCATATCACATAAATATTTTCTAACATTCTCAACTTATTCAGTAACATGACTTACTCGCAAAAAACCAGAAAATTCATCGATATTTCTCGACATTAGTGCATAGTCGAATCCATTAGCTAAGCATTCAATTTAACATTTTTAATCCTTTCAATCAAATAATCTTTCCAGGTAAAATCATTTTTTATTATTTAACCATTAAATGTGTAATCTTTTTCAAAATAAAATGAAAAAGAACAGTAAAAGTACACGCTTTATGTCACATAAAAACATAGTTCAGGGTCAGCATCAAATGAGAAAATGACTGGAAAAGATGATACTCTGCTGTCACCATCAGTCGATCCCACGATTGAACCAATCTTAGAAGAGGAACATAAACATTCAGCAAATGCCACAACAACAATTTTACGTAATTTATCTGGTATATTGTATACATTGACCGCCTGCTTTCTATTCACGTGTACAACATTCATTATTAAACAACTCAAAATCGATTTGTTTGACGCTCTGGTAATTCGTTTCATCCTTCAAACAATTGCTGTAGCCATATTTCTCTATTATAAAAAGTACAAATTATTTTCTGGTACCAAAAAATCATTGGTTCTACAATTTTTTCGAACTCTAGCTGGAACTTTTGGTTTTCTCGGCTTTTTTCTTAGTTATCGCTATTTGCCATTACCGGATGTAACAACACTAAATTACACTCGAGTCATATGGACAGTTCTGTTGGGTATTCTTGTGTTTGGCGACAAGCCTTCATCAATTATTATACTCGCCATACCATTAACGATAACTGGTGTGATATTCGTCGCTCAACCCAGTTTCATATTTCAATCTCAGTTGATTAATTCCACTATGAATTCGACTTCTGCTGTACTAATAAATGATCAGTATATCGGATTTGCGATAGGTATCATTTGTGCGGTCGCATCATCAGTCAATGTTATTATGTTCAAATAACAGATACTCAGTGGTCTAAAAGCGAGCGTAATAATGTTTCAATTTACACTTTTCGTTTTATTTTGTCTCGTTCTAAATCAATTTTATCAATATTTTATTGAACATAAAACACTATCAATATTCAAATGGCAATACGCACTTGCATCGTTTATGTGCATTATCCAAATATTTGCGGCAGCAATCGGACAGACAGCAATGAAACGAGAACACGCATCCGTGTATACGATTGCAACAAGTGGTGATATAGTTTTTGCAATTATATTACAAAATTTATTTACGACAAAAAAATCAAATTTCTTTGCACTCTTAGGCTCGGCTTTGGTTATTAGTAGTGTCATACTAATTGGCGGACATAAACTCTTTCAAGATAAATGCCAGAAGAAAAAATTAAAGGCCACTGCAAATGATATAGATGAAGATTCGACATTATCCGTCTAGAAGCTTTCGGTTGAAATCATAGATTGCTGATTAAACAAGTAATTAGAAGATGACAGGTGAATAACTGGCAGGATATTGTTTTAGTTTGTGAAACTCTTTTTTTCTTTTTATGAGACTCATGTTTCAATTTAACTTTTTAGCATTATTATGGGTACTGAGTACACTCTGTAGTACTTTTGTTTTCATTAGTTCTTGGCATGTGATATCAATGATCCTTTTACAGTTTGAAATGTTGCTTTGATATCGTCGTATCATCCGCATTTGTTCTGAGAAATGAGAAAGAACGACACGTGGACAAAAGATCCGATGAAACACCATCTTGAACATCCTGTTTTTGAAACTAATCTGTAGCAGAATATCCTTCTTGAGCACATAAGTATTGTCTAACATCTTCAACTTACCCGATAGTATAACTGACTCATGCAAAGCGATATGTTGTACAAAAACATGGATAAAGAACATCCCGAACTACTTCACACTCTTCAAATGTCTATTTATTCGTGAAATATTATTTCTGTTCTTCTCATATGTGACTGTCCAAAAGGCGATGTTTTTCGGTACATCGACAATGCTCACTCAGAACAGTCAAGTGCACTCGCTTAATCATCATTAAACTGTTGAAACTTTCATAAATGACATGATTTTGATTGACATACACATGCCAGTCGACCAAACTAATCGAAATTATGTAACTTCAATGTTTTGTAACTGCGGTTTTTAAGGTCTCTGGAGACCTCAGCATCTACAGCCAGCTTGAAAAATCTCTTTGTTTTCATCAACGAAATTAGACTACACAACCGTGTCATTTATGAAGGTTTCAGCACTTTTAGTGGAAAACTAACGATTTTGGAAGTAGCAGCGTAACCAGAAATGCGTAGGTGGGAGGGCAGCGCCCCATGACCTTTAAAAAAATCCATCCACGATAGTTTACATTTTTTCCACAACTGAAATACAGTTGTTCGATTCTCACTTTCTTAAGAGTAAGACAATACACTGCATCTGCACTTTTGTTAAGTGAAATTATGTGAACAAAAGAGAAAAAGAAAACGAAATAAATCAACAAATAATAGTTATTTCAACATTATTCGACAAAAATCTTAGTGGAATAATTTTTTTTTGTTTCTCCCGATGCTCGGGTAAAGACTGTCCACCGCTGGTTACGCCACTATTTGGAAGCCATTTTAAGCCACTGCCTGGATATTTCTGCCATACTTAAAAAATAGTTATCACGAAGTTAACTAACTGATAGTTACCGTTGTTGCAACGATAACTAGAAACGCAGTTACCATTAAACGGCCGAAGAAGTAACGGTAATTTTTACAGTCCTATTCTTGTTTTGTAAAGCGATCTGAAAAATGCACAAGAAGTTAAACTATGTTAGCAGGGCATCTGAATAGTGCAAAAAAATTGAAAAAAATCACACGATCCGTCTAGATTTCGAACCTACCCGACCAGTTGTTCGAGGGGTACTTTGAGTGCTCGGAAATATGCTTTCGATGGGCCTTCGCCGATAGCTCCAATCGTCGAAAAATGACACTTCGGATCCTCGATATAAGCTTTCAAGGGGTACTTTCGAGGCATCGTCGTACCCTCGAGAGAGCGAAGGCTTAGGAGTCCCGAACATCTCTAATTGACGGCTCAAAATTTTTGGCTCGCTACCTATCTGAAATCCGAGGGCTCGAAATCGATACCTCTCGAAAGCTTGTATCGAAGGTCCGAAGTGCCATTTTCCGAGGGTTCGAGCTCTCGGCGAGGGTCTATTTTCGAATACTCGCCGCACCCCTCGAACGACTTTTTTCGTCTGTATAGGTACGGCATGTCATGCCGTGCTCTTATTCACTGAGCTATTACGGACTGTGATTATTAAAGATCATCTCGCTGTTAAATTCTGATTACATAAATGTTTCATAGTCAAACATTAAGTTTCTTACTGTTTCACTGAGTAAAACTATATGTTCTTATTGACCATATCTAAATATGTTTACGACGTACTGTGTGGTGGCATGAAATATGATAAATTTCATCAGTAAAGTTATAGAATAGGTTAGTTTGGGACTATAATCTTACCAGTAACTTAAATAATGTATAAAAAGCAGAAATATAAATTAATGATGAACCTATGTGGAGATAAATACTTCCACGATCTGTTTGGTATTTACAAACATCACCAGCTCTTAATTCCAGGGTGAGGGTGAGTGGGCTACCGCTTTACTAAAATCAATTGCCGTTGGAATATTATTAAGAGAAATAGTAATAGTACGACTACTTTCAAAAATTGAAGTTGTTGGATTCGATGAACTATTAACCTTCAGACAGCAGACCATACTAGAAAACTTAATTCTAACTAATATTGCAGATTGTTAATGCTAACCGAGATCCTATTTGGAATCGTACGTATTAGATGTTTTATCGGTTTTAGCAGGAAATTCATATCGAGATTTGATTGCAATCCATGCTGGGTTAAAATTTGAACTCTCACAAGAAGCAAATTAATAAATGAGCAATTGCTGTATACTGTTCAGTATCAATACGATGTAGTTCAACAAGCACATCATATTCGTGTTGATGAATAACTGCAAGTGGCATAAACTACGCGTACCGTCAAGAGCTACTACTTGCCCAGATCAAGACATTAAAGGATCGCGTCGATTTATAAGGAACAGTCAACTCATTTGAAAAACCAACGATAAACTCGCCGTCGGTTCTATTTAACAATAAAACATTCTTGATGAGTATACTTTGTTTATTAAAATTTTCTTGGTGGTCAGCGTTATTGTCATCGATAGTTTTATTATCAATACTAACATTTTTATTGTCATCTTGCTGATCTCAATCTCGACTGAATGATTGAAGATCTCTTATACAATGCTGTAGCTCTGTTGATGTGATACTAGAATCTTATATTGATATATCATCAATATTGAAATGCAACCAATGGTAGGCTACAATTACATTATGCACATGCTCCAACTGTACGCGCAGCAGATTCACGTGATCAGTACGAACTGACGCCTCAATCAGCAAAATAAATGATAAGTGTTTGAAAAACGTGTGCATGTTTCAATAGTGTTCTAAGCGTTTTTTTATACGCAGCTTGTACGCTTACAGACTTCCTTCGTTACTTTTCCATGACATTCCGGATGTTCATAGTTGACTTTCGCAGTCTCTCGGGAGAGTATTTTTTAAATTACGTTTTCATCTTTGAAATGCCATCGGGAGGGTAAAAGTGAAACGTCTGCGACAAACTTCATCTAGGACTGGCAAAATTTTTTTTCATATACAATTCGATGTGCTCGATCGAACTATGCTAGAATCAACTCGTCATATTTGAAACTGAAGTTTTGTTAAAATTTTAAAAATGGAAAAAACCTTAAAAAACTTAACAATTTTTTTTTTGAAAACTACAAGTCTGAACGAAAAAAGAATTAAAGATATATATTCCGAAGTGTTCTCTACAAAGTGATAAAAAAACCGGATCAGCTCCCACTTGAACAGGAATCTTTTATTCTGGCCGTTTAGCATACTTTTCTGTATATTCTTTAGCTAGACGAACAAATTCTGGTTGATTATTTAGGTATTGTTCACCAATAGCTGGTTCAAGACATTTTTCTGCATGCGGTTGTTTTAATAAATCGTGAATACCTTGTAATATTTCATTTACGGTTGTTCGTGGCTTCCACAACGTATTCAATACGTCTAAACTTATTTCACCTAAGTTTTCACTTATATTCGGATGATAAACTTTTGTTATCATCTGACATTGAGGTGGTTTCAGTGGATATAATTCCGTAAATAACAGACTGACTTTAAACTGACCATCTGCGTAAGGTGTTTCAAGTGGTCCTTCAATAACAGCCACCCATTCTGTTAAGTTATTTGAATCAACAAGACCAGCTGATAGAACTGGAGGTGCAACGTTCAGTTCAGCTAGTTCTTTTCTTAAACGCCGTTCACTAGCACCTGGGGTACTTGATGTTGGTGTTGTAGGAGTTGCCATTCTATGACCTAATTTGAAAGAAAATTAATGTTGCGACAACCCTTTTTTGAATTATTATTTCAGCCTTTAGTTGAATAACTATTCTATCAACAGGCCTGTTTATCGTTGACATCAGAACTTTTAGTGGTAAAAACATTTCGTTAACACAATGTGTAGGTCGCTGTTCGTAGTCGAGATCGAATACGATGAGATCAGTAATCGGTGAATCAGATGAGATATAGAGAAAGAAGTTTTAAAATCAATTTGAAGGTCAGTTTAAAAATAGTAGTACTTTCGACTATTTTACGGTCGTACAGCTTTCATAGGAGATCATTTTCTACGAGAAAAGCAAATTGCAAGCAGATCAATAGTGTATAGCGATAGATCCGTCTATAGTAAACATAACAGCTATAAGTTTATGGTTAAAGACTCACTATTAGATTACTGACCTCGTTCTGTTCGATATCGGCTACGGACAACCGCCTACATTATGTTGACGAAATGTTTTTACCACTAAAAGTTTTAAATTTCACGATAAATAGGCCTGTTAACAGAATAATTATTCAAGTAAAGAAATAAGGTCTCGGATATTTAGTCGCTTTTTCATTCAAGCCTTGAAGAAGTATTTAATTGTGTTTTACACATTTACTGCTCTTCCGAGAAAAAATATTTACATTTTCTCTGCGTTATTTTTGTTCTTCATCGTGGTACAGTCCCTTTTTCTTTCGTTTTGTGTTCCTATTATATAGGTAAAGTAGAAGAAAGCTTCACTATGCAATAAATAAAGGTTGCTACGACATTATTTTTCTTTCGTACGCATTCGTTGAATGGCAACTGTAACAAAAACAGAATCTAACGCTCTCACAACACCAACGTCTGATGTCGCATGTTTTGTTCTTCCTTTTTTCGACGCAATTGAAGCCAGTAGATGATGCATTCTGTTTTTTATTCCATGGAGTACACTCCGTTTTCATTGGAAAAGACTGTGCTATTGTCGTCTTCTAATGCGTGTATTTTGATGAGATTTGATATTTTGATGATATTGGTGAGATTATTTTCACTAGAACATTAATCATTTATCGACTTCTTCATTCCTTCAAGGGGAGTGAATAGCTTTAATTTAATATGCATAATCTTTCCGGGTGGGACGTTGCGCTAAGCATCCAATGAGCGATAGAGGTCTTCCTCTTGGTCAACAAGATCGACTCCTGAGAGCTGCGCCAGCAGTCTGAGTACGATTCTTGCTCAGATAGATTGTTATATCAGTGATAGCGATCATTCATCGAACAATATTAATGCATAGCAGAATGACATGGTAAAATTCTAGTTAAAATGAATCTTGAGATATTCCATGTCATTCGACTGCCACCCTGAAAGATTACGCAAATTAAATTAAAGCTATTCACAAAGTAGCCATTTTTACTTTGGTTCAGATCTAGTTAACAAGATTTTTTCAGAGACCCTAGTTTTCAATACATTTAGACTTATTCAACCTAATTTTGTTTATTTTGAGAAGTAATGGTAAAATTCTAGATAAAGTGAGTCTTGAGATATTCCATTACTTCTTAAAAAGGTGTTTTGTAAAAAAGCTTAGCCCAAAATAAACAAAATTAGGTTGAATAAGTATGGATGTATTGGAAACTAGGGTCTCTGAAAAAATCTTGTCAACTAGTTCTGAACTACGCATGAAGGACAATTGACCATTTCACAATTGGATCCTTCATAATGGATAATGCTATCTCTAATGCGGTACATGAACATACATCGATGTGTATCAGGACCGCCATGGTCAATTTGGTGAGATACCGAACAGTTCTCTCTATGACAAAAAGTTAATCACGTTTACTAAAAACTTGTTGTATATCAAGAGTATCAAGACCGATTGTTCTATGCAATGTATCATCCTGATCCCCAACGCATGTTTTAAGTTACTAAAATTAACTGCTGACAATGCCGAGGAAGAAAAGTGGGATTGATGGAGTAATCTGAAAAACTAACTCGTAGAGTAAAACACTTTAATTTACTAATGGGGAGAATATAAGACTTGAATGTCCTATCATAGAGGTAAATTTTATAACAGAAAATAGCTTAACATACGCATTTATCAAAATTTATTGTAGAAAACTCACGTAGAAGAAACTATTTGCAGATGTGAAAATATGCTAGGTTTAATTGCTTGTATCTTTGAGAGCGTCCTACCATCTCGTCCTCATTTTTTCAAAGTTTATGTTCGTCCTGTATTTGAACATGTAATTAAAAACTGTCGCTATTTTCAAGTTTTTAATGAGAAAGTCGTTTTCGTTCCGGGATTTATTTACTTAGGATTACAAATTTAGTCATGTTAGTTTTGCGAAAAATTGAATAAAAGTGAATTGAACAGAAAGTATTTTTGCACATATAATAGTGTTTCTTGATGCACTCACGAACGTTCTTACCAGATTTTAATTTAACATGCGCATCAATTATTTGAGCGATTCTCCAAATCATTCAACAGATAATCATCAAAACGATGTCTGCTATTAGACATATTATCATATTCTTCAGTACACTTTTAAACATTCAAAAACATAGTGAAAAGATAAATGAAGAAATCTGATAGTCGTAGCCGCCGTCTTCTTACTTGAATTTCATTGACCATTTGAATAAATTTGTCCAGCTCAATATTGTGCCTGTGGTGTTTATACCATGGTTTTCTATCAGCATAAATTTTTACTAAACCATCACACGCTTTCTCTGCTATGTCACAGCCAGTAATATCTAATGGAAAGGATGGTAATAAGGTACTTTTAAGGAAAAAATTAATGATTGGAATCAATCTTTTCGACTATCGATTCAAAAAAATGTATCTATGTATATTTCTTAAATATCTCAGAGAAAAGAAGAGCTTGAGAATTCCAACTTATATCATTTTAAGTCAAGACTTTGCCGTATTTCCATATAAAAAAAGTGAAAACCTTTTTTGAAATGAATACATGCACGTATATGTCTATAAAACTTATACGAAAAATTACACAAGTTGAATGGTAGCACATTCCAGAATAAGTACACAGCCATTGTAAGAGAGAGTTAAGAGATGTGACTAAAACTGCTGTGTATAGTGGTATAGCAAAAGTAGACCTATTTCCGAATATTAGAATTAATTTTAGGATATCCTAGGGCATAGAATAAGCGTAAAACTGATGAAAGAAACCGCTTTCTGCGCTAATTAAAAATAAGTGCCTGTGAAACATGAAAACAGCGTACACAGTAATTTTGAATCGCCACTGTTTCCATCGAGTTCACGAAGAAAAACCGGGCAAAACATGCCCTCTTGAAGCTTTTTTTCTCAAGTACATGACTTTATCAAATTTATTAAGTAAGAATCTCATGGCGTGGAAACATTTCTTACTCATGCAAAACGTATTTTTTGTGGATGTCATGGGCTTGACTTTCCTGAACCATGTGCTTGAGTTACGTGAAGACAATAAAACAGATACAACGAATCAACATGATGATGAAGGTAAGAGCAAACTAATATATTTAAACAAAGAAAAATGATTCAAAATTCTTACTATTTTATGTTTTTAGACGCACTTGTCGACGTTCTTGAAATTATTCTTTAAGGATTCTTATGTCTTATAAATTCTTGAAGGAATCTTTGTCTATGATTTTTCGTTCCAAGATATTGCAAAGAAATAAAATCTGATTGATTCTTTCAGGAACCATGTGACTGTCTCCTTTAAGAATTTATCAGATTTTTTTTATTTAAAGACTCTTTTCTTAGCTAAGGAATCTTTTCTTTAGTTCATAAACAGATCGTTCATCAGAGAAGAACTTTAAAAATTGTTCTAATAGTTTATATCGTTGCTTCACCAGATGCGTTGTTCGACCTTAGTGTGCGTGCTAGCGATAATGTACGGAATTCATTTTCCACTACGTCTGACATGCAAAAAAACGTGAAAGAACATGAGAAGAACGATTTTTGGCTAAGATGAGCAAAAATAAAAAATGAGCGAAAATTTACTTGAAAAAGTCAGCTTAATTTTATTACTTAACGGCAATATTATAAGTTTCAAAATAAATAAAAATGGCTAACGATAAATAATGGAATTTGTGCTATTTTTCTGTTGTACTCTGCCATCTTCAATGTTCACCGCTATAGCAACAACGTAGCTCATCTGCGATCTCGATAACGGGCAGCGTGTAGGTTCTGTGTTTGATACAGTCAAGTTGTTGTTCGAAGTAGAGTTTGTATTATAAATAGCAGTTGTTAAAAATGAGTTGAAAAAATCATGACAAAATGCTTTTTCGTTAAGTTCGTTCTTAACGAGCCACAAGAGACTAGACTGTAAATGAGTAAACAAGCGAAAAAAATAAGTTAACATCAGTAACTATCCATAAATTTCCAGGAGAGTGGGATCCACGAACCGACTCTTCTGTGAACGTTTCTGCCAGTAGAACCCAGATTCTTCCGCTAATCAAGCATAAATTGACACCACAACAAATGTCAATAGAAAAATGCAGTTTTCTTCCAGTTTTTGATGGTGGGTCGGAAAAAAACAGAGTAATCTTTACAGAGTCTTTACAGAGAGTTTCATTTGCTAAATTCTAGAAATCTTGGTCACCCTAGAGCTTTCAGTGGGTAATAGAATAAACATGGTTGGAACAAAAATTAGTTTGAGCCATATGGCAAGCTTTGAAGAAAATATTCAACAAGAAAAGCTCTCTTAAAGAGTAAATAAGATGTCTTTCCGCTCATTTGTTCCTTTCACTTAATGGAAATCTTCATATGTCTACTAACTAGCCTTTGGATGTTACCAGTCAAACAATTGGCTATACATTGGCGATCTAAACGGATATGTCGAATATTTTCCATTTCAGTAAAAGAAATGGATGTGCGGAAGTAACATCTTATTTAGTGATTAAGTTAGTCTGAAAGATTCCTGCAATCAATCTGATATTTACTGCGGCTTTCTAGTGAATTGCAATATTGCATCAGCCACCATAGCTGGGAGACATCTCATTTTGAACAGAACATCTTT